ATAATAATAATAATAATAATAATAATAATAATAATAATAATAATAATAATAATAGCAATAATAGCAATAATAGCAACAGCAACGATAATGATAACAACAATAATAGCAATAATAGCAACAGCAATGATAATGATAATGATAATGATAATGATTATTATTATTATTATTATTCATCCTCATCATCCAATAATTCAAAGTGCAAAGAAGGCGAAGAAATGATCGATCATGTACTCAACTCCTGCAAGAGAACAGTTTCCATCTTGCGACCATTACCTGTAACAGTGCAGGTAGTCAACTTACGACCAGCCCCCAACTTCAGTCACTAAGTGAGACATGTGTTGAGTGAGTTTTGCCCTCTTTTACAACCTTTCTCACTTCAGTTGCTAAGCGAATCACTGCAGTTGTTAAATGAGCAACACGGTTGGCTTCCCCGTTGACTCATGGCCGTTTTTCACAGTTATGACCTTTGCAGCATCCAGACTCATATTTATGACGGTTGCAGTCTCCTGGGTTCATTCGATCCCCTTTTGCTGACTAGCGAAGTCAATTGGGGGGGGGGAGCCAGATTCACTTAACGACAGGGCTGCTAACTTTACCAACCGCCGTGATTCACTTAACAACCGAGGCAAGGAAGGTCCTAAAATGGGGCAAAACTTTAACAAACGTCTCGCTCAACAACAGAAATGTTGGGGTTCCATTGTGGTTGCAAGCCGAGGACTGCCGGTAATAAATACCCTTTTTTTCTCCCTGCCTGACCCAACAAAATATCAAATTCCGTGCTTACATCTCCAAGTGAAAAGGAACTCTCTCTTGTAAAGGTCTTGTAAAGACTTTTTTAAAAGACTTTTGATTCATATTTGAAAAGCTGCCAGGAGCCAGGAGTTCTTGTGCTGGGTAAATATCTGATTTTTGTGAAATAGGGTTTCTATTTTTCCATATGCATGAAATGTGGAAGTATTATTTTCAAGGGGACAAAAAAAATCGCAGTAACGTTTGGGGAGATATATATTTTTTTGCTCCTTGTAGCTAATCTACGAAGCTGCAGCATACGCTGAAATTCATTTAACATATTGTAGGAACAATGAGTTTCTGACAGGCTGCTTCCCGGCAACACGTTTTCGTTCCCCACCTTCCTCGTGTTGTTTTAAAATCTTCCTTTAAAAAAAAAAAAAAAAAGCAACATAGCTTAACAAGAGAGCCAGAGGAAGCATTCGGCGAAAACCCGTAAATGATCATCTGTGGGATTTCACACCACTTTCGTAAAGTTCTGTTATTCTGTTTGATTAGCGCACAGCAAAAGGGAAGCCGGCTCTTCCACTTTCTATCGGTGGCCTCGAGTGCTTGAAGACTCCGGAGAAAAGTTAGATTGGGTCAAAGGAATCCAATATGTGAGCCCGGGTGTGTGTGTGTATGCGCTTTGGTGCTCTCTGAGCTTGGTGGGTTTTTTGCAGACGTTTCATGACCTAACTAGGTAACGTCATCAGTGCTAGAAGAGAGTGAGGTTTGCAGAGAGGAGGAGGAGGAGGAGGAGGAGGAGGAGGAGGAGG